ATGCCTGTATCCACTTTATTTAAAGATTCTAAATAAAACCATACTGTTTCTATTGGAAAGAGAGCTAGAAAAAAGAAAAGAATATTTTATACCTGCATGCCTAGAATCTGCTGAATATTTAAGTTGTGTTGCCAGGTGGACAAAACTTATTTATCTGCAGAATTTTGCAATTTAAGTCTTACCCCCTTCTCAATTATTCTAGAAACAGAAACAGCTGCAGTAGGCAACCAACCACTTACTACAAGAACTCAAAGTTGGCATGGTTCAGGTCTATTGGAAAGCAGAACGAAGGGGAGCTAAGTCTATAATTTGATGCTGTTTCTCTGACATAAAATACAGCATCTTACTCCAAATCTCTTCAAACCCTTAATATGATCACATGCGTCTTGTGCTTGTTATATTCCAGAATCTTTTCAGTTTCCAGAAACAACAGATTATTCATTGATCACACTGTAGTGAAAGGCCCATCATGGCTCCTGAGGAAAGGGCTCACCTCTGTCCCAAGCCCTCACATTGGCCTCCACCCTCAGCCATCTCCTTTGCAAATGTGGAAGAGAACCTACATTTCACCTAGCAAGGTCAGAACCCAAGAGTGCACTGTCAGCCCCCAGGGGAGGCAGGGCAAAGAAAGAATGTGAACCTACCACCAGAGTTGCTTTGACATCCAGAGCAAGACTCATTACATACAATGGAAGGAGGGGGGGTTGTGATTACTATCTCATTCCAACTAGGATCTCTGCATATTCTGGGGTTAAACAATGACCACCCATGGAAGCCTGAGGAATGATCCTTCACTTTGCTCCACCTTCCTCAAAAATGTGCCAAAACTCTTAGAAACCGCACTTGGAATGAATGACTTGATAACATCAAGCAGTAAGAACCTACTGAGGCTGAAAACCTAGCCAACTGCACTTTTAAACCTCAGACGTATTTCACGAGGTCAAATGACGACATACATAGATTGTTCTGACAATCCATCTAGGGCATGTACTAATAATACATAAGAAAAATCTATTTTTGTCATCAGCTATATGGATGTTCCGGTGTATAGAGAAACAGCCTACATGAAGTTAACAAAGAATGATAGTGTGAAACACACTCACGCTGTGCCTGTGGAATTTTGAGCACACGGTGAACATGACTGTCAACTGTCTCAGGCAGCCCACAATCCCATCGGTACTGGATTTGGTGATCACCACAGAGACCCTACCTCCATGACCTTTTAGTGTCTCCTGGGCCCCAGACAGTGAAGCAGGCACTTACGGTCTCAAGTGCTATTATTTGGCAAGGAGGAAGCTATGGGAGTACAAGAAGGCAAAGAGCAGGTCTTCATTCTACTATATAAAGTAGAAGTCATTCATTAAAATCCTGCAATCTGGATTTATAAAGATATGGTATATTATGATCGATACTGCAAATGTTCTTATTACCCGTTGCAGATCTACTTTATTTATTTTACAGTGTTTAAAGATTTTGAAAATAAGCTTATTTTCCTTTGATTTTTTAAAAAGGATTTTAAATAATTCTGTATTAGACTCCAAGAAAACACATTTTACACATACCACATTTTACATACACCAAAATTCCAAATTCTGAATATTCTTTACACCCACCCTCTGCCTGGCCCTCCCAGCATAGCCATTATCAATAGACATCATGGGTTACTACACAAAGACCTAGACCCACACTGTCCAAGCCAGCAACCACTCACCAAGTGAGGCTATAGAGCACTTGAAATGAGGCCAGTTCAAACTGAGATGTGTTGTATGTATAAAATACACACACATTTTGAGGACCTAGTATTAAAATTAATGTCAAACACGTCAATGATTTTTATGTTGACTATGTATTGAATAGTAATATTTCTGACACATTAGGTTACATACCATACATCATCCAAATCAATGTCATCTGTATCTTTTTACTTATTAAAGTTGCTCCCCAAAAATTTCACCTGGCTCAATTCTATTGTATGAGACAGAACCGCTCTGGACAACAAACTGTCTTCTCTTTTAAAGAAACTGGGATCATCTTTTGTGCTCCTAATTTCAGTTATTTATTTAAAAATGGAATCATCTTCCTTGTCCAGCTGCCGAGATACTGTTTAATACTTGTCATCTTCTTGTTTCAAAATCTTGCCCCAGTTTTTAACTAATCTCAGTCCCCTTTTTCTCTGAATGGCATTTCAGAGCTAGAATTACTAATATTACCTAAATCATAACTGACTGTTACCTCGGTCATGAGAAACAGAATCCAAAGTGTTTTCTTTAAAAAAAAAAAAAAAAGACAACAGCATCGTGCATGTCAAAAGCATGGCAAAATGCCCAGGCTTTCTTCCTGGTCAACATTTCCTCTAAAATCTCTATTTACTTCCTCATCTTCCTCTGACTAAACAAGCTTCTCCTGTAATGCTAACAATCCTCCATCAAATAATTCATTTTCAATTTTACTTCCACAAGTATGCAAGTATTGGGGCTACATCGACAAACAGAACTTCCTAGGGAAATGCATTCAGAATTTCCAAAAAACAGACGTACTGCAAAATAACTCATTTTAAATTGATGACATATTGTTATGCAAACAGCAGATACACTGAAGTGAGAGGATACAGAATGAGAGCAGGCATAATCTGGTAGATTAAATTAAACTGGTATATTTTGGAAAGCTGTTTTGTATTTATACATTTTGTAAAAGAATGGGATAAGCAGAGGTATATTTCCAAGAAGGTTTTGCAAGGCCTTACCAACTCAAAGAAGAGATAGGTCCAGAAAGGAAGAAATGGGCAGAAAATGAGGGAGGGGAATAAAGAGGTAGGGCTTATTTTTCCAAATAGCACTAATTCTTGGTTATCTGACTAGATCAGAGGACTGGGTGTGTGAGGTCAAGGGTTGTATTACCATTTAAGTCACATTCATGGCTTCAGGGCATGGCTATGTGCATATCTAGAATGAGAATTAGGCATCAAGCTCATTTAGAAGCTGAATAAATTTAATTTTAATGAGACATCTTGTTTAGTATTAAAATTCATGAGACTCCCAGAACAGGTTCTCTGGACTTTTCATTAGAGGGTAAGAAATTTATTTGACAATTTAACTTCTTGACCACCAGAGTAGGAAAATTCATGTCTACAAACTATACTTATGTATCCCAGAAGCTTTCTAAAATTGAGTCATTTCAAATTTAGTAGCTGCATACACCGTTGGCTCCAATTAGTGACCTCTATGGGGATTTCTTTTCCTTTGGAATTAATCTGTGTATATCTCTGTGTTCATAAAATGAAGAGACTAGTTATTGTGTGTCTTTTTTTAAAAGAAAACACTGCTAGTGAACTACCCAGCAATATGATGAGCAGGAACAAGGTCACATTCACAATTTAAATTGAGCTCAACATCATTTATATTTAGAACTGGATCAATCCAGAATCGTTTCTCAGTTTGGCTTATTTGCTGTGTGACTTGGGCAAGTAGTTTTACCTCTCCCAGCTGCAGGTTGTTTTTTTCTTTTCTTTTTTTTTTTTTAAATTAGTAAAATGCAAATACTTCCTCCGAATTTGCAGGGTTTTGAAATGAAGGAATGATATAGGTAAACAAGCAGGTCAGCAGTCTACACAGAGTAAACAGACACATTTACAGATCTATGAAGCGTCCTGGTGATTATGTTTCATGGTGTTAATTCTGTTGAGGCTTTGGGTAGAGTTTGGTATAGTCCTATCTTAAGTTGAAAATGGGGTTTTAGGCTAGGCGCGGTGGCTCACTGCTGTAAACCCAGCACTTTGGGAAGCCAAGGCGGGCAGATCACCTGAGGTCGGGGATTCGAGACCAGCCTGACCAACATGGAGACACCCTATCTCTACTAAAAATACAAACTTAGCTGGCTGTGGTGGCGCACGCCTGTAATCCCAGGTACTCGGGAGGCTGAGGCAGGAAAATCGCTTGAACCCGGGAGGCAGAGGCTGCGGTGAGCCCAGATCGCGCTATCGCACTCCAGTCTGGACAACAAGAGTGAAACTCTGTCTCAAAGACAACAAAGACAAAAAAAAAAAAAAAAACAAAAAACCAGAGTTTTATTCTTTGAATTCTACTTGAATTCCTCTTGGGTGGTAAAGTTCACATGTGCTATGACTACACTAACAAGGGTTTCTAAATGCCTCTTATTGATAGAGCAGGAGTTCTCAAAGGTTCACACACTTGTGTTGAAGGGCAGAATCTGTATTTTACAAGTGGCTCCCAGGTGATTTCCCTGGTGCTGGTCACCCTAGGCAGCCAGGCCACTTGACAGACCTGTGCCTCTACACTGTTGACGACGCGAGATAATTCCTTATGGTTGCATAGGGCAGTCCTGTGCAATGTGGGAAGCTTAGCAGTATCCCTGGTCTGGACCCCACTAGATGCCAGTGACCCGTCCCTCCACGCCAGCTGTGACATCCAAAATGTCTCCTGACACTGCCATTGATAGATGGCCTCAGGGTGGCCAAACCACCAGGTGGAGAACCGCTACCACGTAGAATGCTACCATCAAGGTGCGCCCACAGCAGCAACCTTGGGGTAGGCAGGCAAGTATCCTCCAGGCTAGTCTGCAGACGGGGAAACTGAGGCTGGGCACCGCTCAAGGTCGCAATTGTGGGTAACCGAAAAGGGAGCGGAGGTGCAGCCTCGCCCAGCTCTGCAGAGAGGACGCTGGGCCGCACGCCCGCTCGGTGGTCCCCAAGGACCGCGCCCACGTGCTCCGGCCCCACGCGCGGCCCGCCGACCGGAAGCCGGTGCTGATGTCGCGTAAACGCCGCAGCCACGCGCGCCCTCCAGTACCGACATGGGCCCACGGGCGCTGCTGGCCGCCGCCCGACTTCGAGTCCGGTGCGGTACACAGCGCGCGGGAGCCCCAGGGTCCCTACTCAAACACAGCCCGGCCGCAGCCCCCAGGCCGTGACGTATCCCGCGCCGACCGTTCCCACGCCCACCCAGGACCGCCCTCGCGGGAGGCGGCGGCTACACACTACCCACCCAAAAGAAGTCCGTCCATGTCAAAGATGAGGTGGGTGACGGGCTCTGGCGGGGGTGCGGGCGGGGGAGCCGCCATGGTACCGCCTTCTGGGTCTGGGTGGGGGCGAGGGAAAAGTGCGCGCGCAGTCGCCCGCCCCGCGCACGCGCAGTCAGGGCCTCCTCGGGCTTCCGGGGCCAATCTGCGCACGCGCTTCCCACGGCCTCTAGCCCGCCTCCGAACCTGCGCGTCCGGGGCTGCCTAGTGCCGCTCCGCGCACGCGCATCTCGGGCTTTCGCCGCCGCAGCAGCTGCAGACTGGGAATGCGGCGCGGGCGGGCGCGATACGTTAACCCGCATCAATTCCTCCTCACGTCACACCCGGAATCGGGCCAAGCTACTCAGCCAACGGCCGCGCAGAGCCGAGGCCCTCGTCTGGGGGCAAATTCACTGCTTGAGTTTGGAACAGGGGTGTGTATGAGGAAGGAGGGACCGTGCAAGGGGGCTGTCGAGTGGGGAGAGGGGGTTGAAGATGTTCAGGGTGGCATCACTGCGAGCCATCAGGTTGCAGGCAAATGCCTTGGTCACGGAGGTCCCTGGGTGGGTTCGCTCGAGCGTGGAACGCCAGCCCCTGGACCGTGGGTGGGTTTCGCGGTTTCGCCTGCCCCCGCCTCCCTGCGGTTTTGGACCGCGACTTGAACTGGCAGTCGTGCATGCGCAGTGTGCGCGGAGAGGATGCACAACCTCCGTGCCTGCATCCCTCGGAATCCCAGGCTGGTGCGTTGTCTCAGAGCAAAGCCAAACTGTGCAAGGAGGATGCTGAGATAATACTAATAGTCAACATGTGTTTCTCATTAAGCCTTCTTAGGTATCATCTGTCTTTTGGGCTGCTCTGAGTTTCTTCCTTTTTTAACTTTTCAAATGCCATCTAAACAGTTTTCTTCCCACTTCCACCACCTTTTGCCATAGTCAGAAAAATACATTTTTGTCCATTTCGTGTTCTCTTATGTGGTGTATTCACGTTTAAGGACAAGAATTGGACCTTTTGAGAAGCTGAAATAATAAGAGTTAGACTAAAAACGTGAGGGCGTGCCGGGTGCAGTGGCTTACACCTGTAATCCCAGTATTTAGGGAGGCAGAGGTGCGGTTTGGGGGGATAGTTTGAGCCCAAGACCTGCCTGAGATCCTGTTCGCCACAAAAAGGGAAAAAAACACACACAAAACCAGGTGTAAAACATGAGGGTGTATTTTTAGTTTACTAAGTACATGGTGGATGGGGGCATGCCTGGATTCAGCAAGAACACTTATCATCTATGATAGACAAAGTGCCTCTGTGTCTGTTTCCTCCTGGGTAAAATGGAGATTATAAAGGAGGTGAGGCAGGTCAAGCAAGCCCTTAGTACTAGTGCATAGTACATAGTCAATAAAATTATGTATTCTTAGAGCTGGTACTATAAGAGAGCTTCCCCCGTTTAATCCAATCGTGATTTCCCTTTGAGGACACTGGATTTCAGAGAAGGCAGTTAATGACCAAATTAGGAAGGGACTTTCTACTCAAAGTCATTTGTGATTTCTGTATTTGTTTGATACAGCTGCGATAATAATGCACCACAGACTAAGTGACCTAAACAGCAGACGTGTATTGTCTCACAGATCTGGAGGCCAGAAGTCCTGGATCAAGATATCAGCAGGCTTAATTTTCTGAGGGCTATGAGGAAAGGGCCTATTCTAGGCCTCTCTCCTCAGCTTGGACCTGGCTTTCCTTTCCCAGTATCTTGTCCTATCGTCTTTCCTCTGTGTGTGTCTCTCTGTCCAACTTTTTTCCTGCTATAAGAACATGAGTCTTATTGGACTAAGGACCACCCTAATGACTACATTTTAATTTGATCTCCACTGACAAGATACTGTTTCCGAATAAGGTCACAGTCTGAGGTAGTGGGGATGAGGACTCCAATGTATCTTTTTCAGGAACACAATTCCATAGTAGATGCATTCCACACACATTGCTGGGGTACCTACAGTCAGTATGACAGTATTTCCCACCTGGAGTCTTTAGAATTCTCCCTTCCAGATTCTTTCCTTTCTCTGGAAACAAATGGATGCACACATGTCAGTGTTATTGTTGTTTTCTTTTTGGTATCATAACCACCTCACATTTCTGTTTAGTCATTAAGAGTATTTTTCAAAAGAAAAAAGGCCCCAGTGCCATTTTGATGAAATGGCAAGGCCTCATAGCGATTGTGGAAGAGACAGATTGGGAAACCTTATGTACTTCAGCTCTCCACAGATGTGAAAACATGGTTCACATCTTTTTTTTAGTAAGTCTTATTTTCTACACTTTTCAGTGACATCACTTCAGTGCATAAGATGGAAGACTCCTCTTTGCTTAAAAAAAAAACAAACTGAATTTGTGAATGCTTCTCTGTCACAAGTTAGATTGGAAAAGAATGAAATTTTGTTCTATCGATGTGATTTGCACACATATAACAAGTTAGCTTTTAAGTTTACAGAATTCTCCAACATCCAAAGATGGACAGCTTCTAGGCTGATGAGAATGCAGTTCCTTCCATGAGTTACAGTTTACTTTTGTACAATTGTGTTTTCCCCATAGGACAATACCTTACTTTTCCTGACAATTTTAAGATACAATAGAAATGATCCCATAAACTATAGTACGATAGTGTGAAAAGCACATTAACAACTGATGGAACAAATAAACAGATGACCTTTCACACAACATATAAACGTAAACGTGCCATTTATTGTGTGTGTATATATATACCATCCTGTATGGAGTAGTAGCTTATCTCAGCTTCCTTAGTTTGTTGCCCTGGTTCCTGTGTCTCTGTGCTTTTGTTATCTGTTGTATTTGGTTTCCACTCTGCTATATCTGTTTTCTGTGAGCCCCCTTTGCACCGTTCTTCACTTTACTTTTCTGGGGTACAAATCTTGCCCAGCATAGACGGAGGGTAACAGGTTGGACTAGGGACCATCTTTCTCACTGGCTGTCCACAGTCTACTTTTCTTGATGATGCTGAGGAAGCTCTGACTTCCATCTGATGGGTCCTCAATTTAGGCTCCTCATTGCAGACTTACCTGCCTTCTTCCCCAGTATAGCTGGCTTAGCAATGCTGACTTAGCAAGTCTCTTGCTTCAGAAGCACTGAATATTCTTACCTCTTCCCACTGCTGGTTTCCTGCAAGCCCAGTGAGCTCTGGAAGGGAGCCTGACATAGACGGCTGAATTCGCCACTCCTGGCTTTGTACTCTAGGATGTATCTGGTACTTTTGTGTGAAGAGGGCCATTGTTTTTGAACCCCTTCACCATCAGAGTACAAACCCTCTGAGCAAGAGGTCCAGTTTGATTCTCTGCAGTGGTGGACAACAGGCATGGTATGAACTGGCAGTGTCAGCATCTGGGAGCTCGCTAGAAATGCAGAATCCCAGCTGCCACCCTCAGACTGATATCATCTGCCTTTCAACCAGGGCATGTAATGGTCTAGATCATTGACCCCTCCTGGGGTATACCAGCTACTTCATTGTGGGGAGGGGGCTTAGGATTATTATTTTAATGTAAAGAAGTAGCAAATGGCCGGGCGCAGTGGCTCAAGCCTGTAATCCCAGCACTTTGGGAGGCCGAGGCGGGTGGATCACGAGGTCAAGAGATCGAGACCATCCTGGTCAACACGGTGAAACCCCGTCTCTACTAAAAATACAAAAAATTAGCTGGGCATGGTGGTGCGTGCCTGTAATCCCAGCTACTCAGGAGGCTGAGGCAGGAGAATTGCCTGAACCCAGGAGGCGGAGGTTGCGGTGAGCCGAGATCGCACCATTGCACTCCAGCCTGGGTAACAAGAGCGAAACTCCGTCTCAAAAAAAAAAAAAAAAAAAAAAAAAAAAAAGAAGTAGCAAATATGTTAAGCTTTACTAACATTTATTTCATTTTTATTTTTATTTTTTGAGACGGTCTCACTGTGCACCCAGGCTGGAGTGCAGTGGCGTGATGTCAGCTCACTGCAACACTCTCCTCCTGGGTTCAGGGGATCCTTTTACCTCAGCCTCCCGAGTAGCTGGGACTACAGGCACCCACCACCACGCCTGGCTTATTTTTGTATTTTTTAGTGGATCTTACCATGTTGGCCAGACTAGTCTCAAACTCCTGACAAGTGATCTACCTGCCTTGGCCTTCCAAAGTGTTGGAAGTATAGGCAAGAGCCACTGCACCCAACGCTAACATTTAATATTCGTGTAAACGCTGGCGAATATTCTCGTGCCTTGGTCTTTTCTCTAGGTATCCTTGCAGGGAGGAAGGGTGGCATCTTTGCTCTCAACCATTTTATTTGATTTCAGCATGATACAATGTACATATTAAGGTAAAGTGTATTTACAGCTTATATTATTTACTTTTTAAACCAATTCTCAAAAAATGGACAGAGGGATTAAAGACATGCCTATGAAAATAATAAAATGTAGCTTCCAGTTAATAACAAGAAAAGAGAAATTCCAGCATCAGCTTTATAGCCTTCACTAATGATTAAAAATCATGTTTTATAATATCCATAATGTTACTGCCTAAGTAGACATACACTATTCTAAGATAGCACATATGAAGGGAGGATGTGTGCTTCAAAAATATGGGAAAGTGAGGCATGTGGTCAGACTCTACCATGGATTTGAATTTCCTCTCACCTGCCAGGATTCTCACTGACTAGACATGACTGGACATCTGAGAGAGGGGCTCAGGCTTCATGACACCCCACCCTTTATCATCGTATTGTTCTAGGGCTTCTGACTCAAAACAATTCCTTCCTTGCTTGCCCCACTCTCCTTCTCTTTTTCCCTCCCTTCCTTTCCTCCTTCTCTCTTTCCCTGTCTTCCTTCCTGTCCTCCTCCTTGACTCCCTCCCTCTCTCCTTCCTTCCCTTCATTTCCTCCTCTTCTCTTTTTCTGTCTTCCTTCCTGACCTTCTCATCGACTCCCTCCCTCTTGCTTTCCTCTCTTCTTTTTCTCCTTCTCTCCTTTCCTGTCTTCTTTCCTGTCCTCTTAAACTCCCTCCCCCTTCCTGCCCTTCCTCATTCTCTTCCTTTTCTGTTTCTCTCCTGATGTTTCCTCTGGTGTAGCCCCTTCCCTCCAGGACCTGTGAGGGGTCCGTGTGCCCACAATGAATACAACTGGGGATGTCAGCATCTTGGGCCTTTGCTGTGTCTTGCACCACATTCACAAGGAGGGCTGCCCACTGGCCCTGCCCAGTGAAGCTTCTCTACTAGGGTGGAATCACAGCTGGAGCTCACCACACAGAGTGCTGAGTGCCATCTCTAATGTGCGCCTTGTGATGTTGCTGCTTCTGAATAAACCACTTGCTCACCTGCAAGGCTCTTAGTTCCTGTCATATCTTAGGGAAGTTGCTTAGTGCTCTGGTCACTTCTCCATTGTGTTTATAAAGGCCAAGTGTTAAGAGTCTGAGATGAAAGAGTGATTACTTGTTCATAGTTAAAATTGGCTCATTGTTTCATAGCTATCATAATAGCCACCAGCCCTCAAATAATTAGGACATACTCACAACTTTATAAATGATCTCTTATTTCATTGACTCCACAACTTTGCAAAGTAAACAGTGGAGTTCTTCTTACAAAAATTAAGAAATGGAGCTCAAGGAAAGTCAGATACCTTGCCACAAGTCATACCTGAAAAGGATCAGGGTGGAGAGTTCAACCTCTGTTGGTCTTCCTTCCTCAAAAAGAGCCAAAAGGCAAAAACTCTCTATTAATATGTTTTCTATGTGTTTTCAAAATTTCTTATGTTGTCAGTAAGTAATCAGGACCACAACGTGAACAGTTAATATCAAAATCAAATACAAGAATGAATGTGCAAATAAAGGGGAACAAAGTATTCTAGAAACCACCAGCAAGAAAACAAGGAAAAGGAAGCTTCGAAAAATAAACAAGAAACATTATACATTTGTTTTCTGCAGTTCTGATGTCAGTGTGGCTTGTCAGCGATAACATGGTCAAACCAGTCATTTCTAGAATCAGAAGTTTTCGCCTTTATTTTACTTGCACCCAACTCCTGTGCTGCTGGGTGCAAACTAACATCTGGAGGGAACAGAAAGCTGGTTACACAGCCTCTTCCTTCATCTTCCCCATGATTTAATGATCACATAAAGCTGGAATTGTGCTGAATGGGTCTTTGCCTCCTCAGTCCACAACCTTGAAACTCTCCCATTTCTGTGGTCAACGATGTTCTTTCCATTTTTTGTTTTGTTTTGTTTTAAACACAACAATTCCCAAACTTACTCAACAGGGACCATCACATATGCTCTTTAAAAATAAAGTAATATCTCCTTCAAACACACTTTAGAAATACCAGACTGCTGTTAGGCATAGAGTCCATTCTGATTTACATTCTGCCTCATCACCAACTTTCTTGAAGCTGTCATTCAGTCAGGCTGTGGGATTTTCCCAAGTCAGTGTGATACCGAACACATTGGAAAAGCAGAGTAAATTTACAGAGTAAAATTCACAGAATGAGAATCTTAAGTACCTCAAATAGTTAAGATTTTAAGAATCTTAAAGGGAACAGGGTATGTGTATATATATGTATACCATATATATGTTACATAATCTATATAAATAATATATTGGTGTGATTTTAATAAACTTAAGAGGAAATGCCTTTATATATAACTTAAATATATTTAGTTTGTATATATTCACAAATTTATATGTTAAATATTATATTTAAAATATTGCAAGTGTATGACTTTAAGAAAGTTGAGAAGAAAGATAATTACAGTAGGTTCTCACTTAACATTCTTGGGAGGTTTTTAGAAACTGTGACTTTAAGCAAATCACATATAACAATACCAATTTTTTTCATCAACTTTAGAACAAAATGATGTTGAATGAAACAACCTGCTGTATATCATTCTTCTTAAATTTGCGATTTCTGAGAATTGACCAGGTAAGGAGGTTCATGCCTGTAATCTCAGCACTTTGGGAGACCAATGCAGGTCGATTGCTTGAGCTCAGGAGTTCAAGACCAGCCTGCGCAACATGGTGAAACCCAATCTCTACAAAAAAATACAAAAATTAGCTGGGCGTGATGCCATGCACCTGTTGTCCCAGCTACTTGGGGGACTGAGGTGGAAGGATTGCTTAAGCCTGGGAGGTTGAGGCTGCAGTGAGCTTTGATTGTGCTACTGCACTCCAGCCTGGGTATCATAGTGAGACCGTATCTCAAAAAAAAAAAAAAAAAAAATTCTGAGAATCTATCAATGTTGTTACATGAGGACTTATTTTATATATGATTTAAATGCACTTAATTTATTACATATAGATACATGCATGTGTGAGATTTTAGTTTTAGCTGGCTCTTGCTTCTCTTTGGATGTATGTGTGGTTTTAACAAACTTATATATATAGTACATGTGTGTATATATATTTATATATAATTGCACAGGTTTGAGAGTTGTTTGTTAAATAGGCTAAGTCAAATAGATGAATCAAACACGTACAACAAATGTATTTTGTTCTTTTGTGGGCACATTTCAATTGAATATGTTTATTGGCTGCTGCTGTATTAATGTATAACCAATAACATTTGGAAAGCATCTATTTCAAGTCAATTTCCTAGGGCCATTTAAACCACTCTGGAAGAACCTTAGAGGCAATCAATTTCCATGACTCCTTCTTTCTGGAGTAAACTAGGAGGCCAGTGAAAGAAAGGCAATTTACTAGGACTTGGGTTTTGGTTTAATAATAAAGCTGTAACTTGAAACATGGAAATGCAGTATAGCAAGCAGAAGGCTGTGATTAAATCTGCTCCTGAAGAATGGGAAGTGAATGATAATTAAAAACCACAAAGATGCAAAAATACCTACCCAGAAACTATTCATGATTTTTTGTGTTCCTCCTTTGCATCTACTTCCAACCATGTTCCATGTAACACACATAGGAGGAATTCTGGGGTTTTCCATGTGTTTTTGCCCTTTCCTGTGCCATGACCTTTACTTTGATAGAGGAGGGTCTCCAAACCAGAGATGTGAGAGCATGTTTGGTATTTTAACATTTCTAGACTTTATGCAGCTGGCAAATGGCTTGGAGGGGAGTAGTTGAGCCCATCCTGAATGTATAAGAGCTCACTGCTGTTTATCTTGTGCAGCTGTGGATGATGCAATAGGAAGACTATCAACTGGATTCTGGGGCTCCAGGTCTCTTCCTTCTGCGTGGCTAAGAGGAGAACTCTTCTGTGAGTACCATGTTCCTCTCATCCCACTTGCCCGATTTGCATTGAGATGCTTGTTCCTTGATTCAGGGCCCTAATTATCAAGCCTCCATCTTTGCTCATGCAATTGCTGTATGTTGAGTCTTCGAGAGTGAGTGTTCGCTTGCTAATCTCTGATTGCGTATGCCCTTCTTCTGTGGGACTCCAGGATTTCCCACCAACAGTCTCTCTACTGGGTTCTTTCTGGGTAGTGGCCCAAGTATGAAGACATGCCTAGTGTTAGCTTGAGGGTTCCTGTGCAATGCCTTTGATGGTTGGCAGAGTTATAGGAATGTCAAGCATCAGGTAGGTTCAACCCTGAACAATTTCATTAAGCATCTGCAGGGATTCATATACCAAAGTCTCTGCTTTTCATGATCTTAAAGCACAGTGGTTTTCATAGCTCTGTAGAGTAAAATCTTTTCACTTCTGTCTTTTGAAAATTGCCAAAAAGGATCATCTATTTCTTTTTGCCAGGCACCATGCCCTGGGACATTATATCTAATCAATAAAGGGTTATTGATCAGAGGGGCTTGAGATGTATACTTCTGCCTGCCTTACTAGTGAGAAAGCTAGTGACCCAAGTGATTTAAGCACTTTTTTGAGATCATACAGCTAGTGGGTGCTTGGATCGGAATGCCATGTCTGTCTAACTCCAAAGTCCTCCATCTACATATTAAGATTAATTATTCTGGGAAATATTTATTGTAACAGGATACTCATTTGACAGCATCGTGAAATGAGATGCAAAAAAAAAAAAAAAAAATGGAATCCTAGGAATTTTCCATTTAGACAGCCGGGAATGCTGTGTACCTCTGGCCTCACAGCAAGAAGAGAAGTAGGGGCGTATGAAGAGGTTTCTGTGGCATTATAGCCCTGTCTCTTCCCCCGTGGAGTTAGGCTTTTTTTTTCTTGTTTCCTAAATGAAATAAAAAATGACATGGCCTGCGTCTCTCTTGTACTCAATCCAGTGTGGAGGCTTCAGCAACACTCCTCAGAGAGGTTAGTATTTGATTGTACATCTCTTGGAGGACCTAAGGGGTTGGCACCTGATTCCTGCCTGATCTGCTCTAGAGACTTGTGAGCTTGAGGGCCAGGGGGAGTTGATTTAGGTTGCACTTCCAGAGTCCTTCAAACAAATATGCGAAACTAGATAACCTTAATGACCGGATGGGGACCAACGGGAGGAAAACTTTGGACTTTCACCCCACAAAATCTGCTGGGGTGAGGAGGAAACTCCAGCAGAGAGGCACCACTGGAAAACCAATTGGAGGGAGAGACAACATCACCCACATCTCAGGAGTTGCGGATTGGGGAGATTCAGCTGGACTGGCTTCCAGGAACTTAAGAAAATGCCCTCCAGGTTTGCCTGAAATCTTCTCATGACAGCACCAGTGAGAGAAGAACCTTCTGCTCCTTTTTGCTTTCTTTTTCTGCTATTCTCCAGGTGGAGGGATCGGCAATCACAACGGGGAAAGAGGGAGGAGGGCAACTGAGAAAGCCAGAAGCTTCCCTGTATGTGCCCTCTGTTTCAGGACCACGAAAAGCATGCCTTAGCTGGGGGTAGGGTGGAAAGGAAAGGAAGTCTTACCCTGGAGTTAAAGCTGCAGAGATTTAGTATTTCACTCGACATTTGATTTTGAGCTTGAAAGCATTCAGTGACCAGAAACATCATGTGATGTGCTAGAATTCTGACCACTAGCTGGTATAAGACATTTCAGCAATGAGTAAGTTTTATAGAGAACCTGGGAGACAAAACATTGCCTTTTGGTAAAATCCGAGTCATATTTATTCATGTTAAAATACTTTTCAGATTTCAACATGCTAAAATGCTTGTTATTATTAAGAATAGAAAATGAGCTAACACTGCTACTTTTTGTGTTATTTGAGTGCCTACTGAGAGCAGGAGGCACACAAAATAATTAGAAATAAGGAATGTTTTATTTACGGAAGCAGAATAATAAAAGCAAAGACTCAGATTGGGCTTTTTTTTTTTCCTTTCTTCCTTTCCTTTTTCCCTAAATGCTATAAAAACAAACAACACAAGGAAACAACTAAAAGAGAAACACAAGGCATTATTTTTCCTGGGGTATGATTTTCCCCCAAGATGTGTGGTCAGAAGACTGCCTGCTGTTTCATCAGCATTGATGGGACACCTCCCTGCTGAGTGGTAGCCCTGCTCATTGCCCAACCCTGTGGTGTTGACACAGAATGAATTCCTTGGGGCTTTTGGCACTGTGTTGTATGTGTAACTCATTTGACAAACAGGGTGGCAAGGCTTAGGTACATCAGGCTCTCGACAGATCATTCAAAACAAAACAAAACCCTTGCTCTTCTCATCCTAAACCTATGTCCTATGTTGTTGTTCATTGGAAAAAATAATCAGCACTGTGTGTCTGGTCCATCTCACCATTGTATAGCCTCCCTCTTCTTCCTCAACACATGCTCCCTTTCCTTGCTGTGCACTCTGCAATGCAAAATTCAGTGCATACAGGAAGTGCTCTGAGTGAACCCCTGATTGTTTTCCAGGTCAGGGAGTCAATAGGTGAATACGAATTGCAGTTAAGTATTCAGGGCTGGCACCCAAAGCTCCTCCAAAGTGATGAGTTGGTTAAGGAAGTCCAGCTGCCCTCTGAGTGATGTTGAAAATGTGTGGGGCACTGGGAGAGAGGAAGGCCAGGTGGAGAAATACATGCAGTTAAACAACTTTTTTGTGATAGATTTGCAGATTACTCAGTGATGACTTTATTGCTAATGATGCTCCAATATAACTGCCCAGGCTGTCAAACGACTATTCACAGACGGTGAGCATTTGGCTGGGATGCTTGTCCAACGTGGCAGTGTGAAAAGCTGTTTGAGATCCTTGAAGGAGACGTACAAAGTGTCTGAGTCTCCCAGTAAGGAACCCTCTCTGAAAGCCTTGTGAGAACTGGTGAGTTACATTTTTAATATACTTATTGTTTTTGCTTCTCTGCCGCTAAGATATTGAGATACATATTGACAGAAAATGACTACAGGGGATATTTACTTTAGTTGCACTGCTACAAAGGAAGTCCAAAGGTTTCAGTTTCCTTCCACTCTTGAAATACCTGAAGAGCAGCCTGGTAAAAGTTAATTGAATATGTAAAAGAGCCAAGTCTTTGCTCTGGGAGGCAGAGTTTTAAATTCTCTTATGTGGGACGAATCAAAGTTTGTACATTTTTTATCTGTGGTGTTGCGTTAAAGAAAATATCTGTAAAACCATCTATAACAATTTATCTAATATGTTTTCATTTGCTCATTTGCCCTGAAACAAGGCTGTCTATAGGGAGAAGAAAGTAATTGCCAAATAGTTTGTCTTTGTGGATTGGAGTGGTAGTTTGAAAACACAAGCTTGGTATAAAGAATATTGGAGTTTAGAGGAATGAATCCTAAAAGGAAATGAACATATGAAGTGGTGCGTTTTATGCTATAGTTTACACAAAAGAGAAATTAAATCAATTAACTTCATGTGTGAAAATATTGGACCCACTGCTCTTAAGTTAGATACAATGTCTGTACAGGAGATGTCTTTGCCATCCATTGCATTCCCTGTAAGATTGGCATAGTTTTAAGCTTTCAACTTACTGCTTTTCTAAAGGATAAATTTCAGAGGGAATTAACAGATTTTTCACTTTTTTCCATTTTAAATATACAGGTTCAATATCTATAATGTTCACCTTAAATATGTATCCTACAGAGTAGAAAAAGAACATAAATGCCTGCCTTCTAGAGGGGCATACACATAGATCTCTGAGTTTGTCCTCAGGATCATGCATGGAGTCAAATGTTTCTCTCTGTTTTTTTCCTTTTTTTAAGACGGAGTCTCACCTTTTCTTCCATGCTGGAGTGCAGTGGTGCGATCTCAGCTTACCGCAACCTCCACCTCCTGGGTTCAAGCAATTCTTCCGCTTCAGCCTCCTGAGTAGTTGGGATTACAGGCACATACCACTATGCCCAGCTAATTATTATTATTATTTTTTTGTATTTTTAGTAGAGATGGCATTTCGCCATATTGGCCAGGCTGGTCTCAAACTCCTGACCTTAAGTGATCTGCCCGCCTCGGCCTCCCAAAGTGTTGGGATTTCAGACATGAGCCACTGCACCCACCTGGAGTCAAATGTTTCTTAACAGGCTACATTGGTTTTAAGATGTGGTGTTTATTACTGCACTTTTTACAGTGTGCTTGTCTATGTAAGATCATCTCTATAAAAGAACTAGGTTAACTGAGGAATGAGTATATAGTTCAGAGGTCAGCTACTGTTTTCTGAAAATTTTTATTAATTGAAGAAAATGGACATCCAAAAATCAATTTAATTTTTGCAATGCATTCTGTACGTAATCTAGTAATTTTAAACCAACTAAGTGGATAATTTTTCCCCCAAAGAGAGATGCTAAGAAATTCCTTGGATCTCTTTCAAGTAAACTGTCATCTTATGAGCAATTATAATGAATTAACATGTCCAGTTCTTGCTTACTTTATTTCTTATCAGAGTATCAACATATTTCATGTACAAATCAGTTTTGTCTTCTGTGCCAACCCAAGCAGATTGAGTTGGAGGAATGTTAAAAATAATTTTCACTTAAAATAATATCAGGAAATGTGTTGAAATTATGTTACAGAAAGTTTGCTCCATTTCCTGTCACTTACTGCAAGTATTCTTTGTCTCAGGGAACACATGATAATGCTTTACTGAATACCCTGTGAATTGGTGTCTATAGTAACATTAGTATTTGCCAACTGAGAAATTGCCCCATATTCATTTATAATGAGATTATCATATCACAGCCGGTTTCAGGAGACAAATCTAAAAGCTTTCAGTGCAAAAAAAGATAATAATGACTCCTGTTTTCATTAAAAACCTAAATAGTAAATGTTGGTTGGACATCCCTTAAAAGCTTAATAAAATAAGCATTAAGTGTTTATGGCTAAAAATCCTAAGCCATGCTTTCCAGATCAGGTTCTGTTACCATTGTTTTGTTTCCATCTTATCTTCTCCTTAAAATTCCAGCCTTGTTTGGGAATTAACTCATGTCAAACTTGGCCACTGAGTCAGCAAGCAATTCCCCAGTGCCTAGGGGACACAGGTAACAGAGGACGTGGCAATGATGAAACGGAAGTCCAGTCTCACCTCAGGTGTTGTCTATGATGGAAAACAAGCAGTAGAAATACTGCACGTACGAATGTCAATAATAATTAAATGCTTATTATGAGAAGGAAGTGCAGGGCAGAGAGTTGGCACTGGGCTAATTAGGAGTAGCCCCTTCAACTGTGAGGTCTGGCAGAAAGCCTGGGGGATGGAAGACAGACAGCTTAGGGTCCCGCGTTCCTCTTGGTGGTTCCAAGACTAGGAGATTTTTAGTTTAGAGGTAGACTGGGAGGTTCTCTTTTATGATGAATCTGTCTACCCAGAGTTTCCCCACGGAGGTACTGTTGGTACTTGGGGTGAGTGATTCCTTGTTGTAGCGGCTGTCCAGTACATGGTAGGATGCAGCAACCCACAGTATCTCCAGATGTTGCCAAATGTCTTCTGGTACATAGAATCGTCCTCCCAGATGACAGTCTCTGGCTTGAAATAAGTATTTAAAATGTGTAAGAGAGAGCTTACTTAGAGCAGGGTTTGTCAGCCTCAGCACTGCGGACATTTGGGGCTGAGTCACTCTCTGGTGGTGGGTGTCCTGTGCACTCTAGGGTGCTGGGCATTATCCCTGGGCTCCACCCACCAAATGCCAGCAGCACCTCCCCCCAAACCCCCACCTCCCACCCACTGCTAAGTTGTAACATCCAAGCTTGTCTCCAGATACTGCCAAATGTTTCTTGGGTCACAAAACTGCCCCTTGTGTAGAATCATCAAATTGGCAACAGATAAGAACTGGCATCTGGGGTCGTGGAAGAGGTGTGGAGATCACCATTTTGAGTCTGCTCTCAGCTCTTTTTCCAGCTGGCCAGGTAGCTCTGTGTTTTTTATGGAGCCTGTCACAGCTGGTTTGACCTGGGTCACTGGGCAAACATTCCCTGGGTCTCAACCTGTCACCTCTTCTGCCTATGAGGAAACTCTGGAGCTATCTACATCCAACTGACTTGGCCAAGGTCCTTTAAAGCACAGGAAGCTTTTCCAGCACTTGCCTTCTTAGCCCACAGGACTGTACTACTTCTTTTCAAATCTTACCTTCAGAAATGTAGGTTTGCAATCCTTTATCCATAACCAAAAATATAAGTTTATCCATAACCAAAAATAGAAGAGAAAAACATGGAAAACTCAGTTTTTGTAACATATTTGGCAGTGATACCAGCTCAAACCAATTAACACAAAACTAACAAAGTGAAAAGTCTTCATTCGTCCCAGAGAATGTGGGTATTCATTTTGTTTCACTGCAGTTTTTTTTTTTTTTTTTTAAGATAGGGTCTCACTCTGTCACCAGGATGAAGTGCAGTGGCTCAATCTTGGCTCACTGCAACCTCTGCCTCCTTGGTTCGAACTGTTCTCCCACCTCAGCCTCCCCAGTAGCTGGGAATACAGGTGCCCACCACCATGTTCAGCTAATTTTTTGTGTGTTTTTTGGTAGAGATTGTGTTTTACCATGTTGGCTAGGCTGGTCTTGAACTCCTGATCTCAGGTGATCTGCTCGCCTCAGCCTCCCAAAGTGCTGGGATTACAGGTGTCAGCCACTGTGCCCAACCTCACTGTAAAACCATTAACATGGGTGACCACAGGCTGCTGTCCAAGACTTTGCTCGAGCTGTTATATATGACATGAAATATTCACCATTACCTTAAAAAAACCTGAAACATTCTGCATTCTGAAGCACACCTGTTCTCAAAAGTTTCCATTTCAAGAGTATGAACCTGAGAACGTACTTGTGAGTGGAAAAGGGTTCATTCTTAATTTCTTTTGACCTTGACAGCCCAACAATGATGGTACTCTTTGTTTTTTGGTTTGTGGTATCATCATGTGCTTCTGTGTGTCCTCAGATGCAACTTTCATTATGTAAAACCTCCTTCCTTTTCTGTACTCTCTTAGCTTTTGAATAACTGAGAACACTCAGGAACCAAATAGCTTTGTCATTTGGTTCTGGGCTCAGTTGTAAGTAGCTCCCAGAACCCGCTTCCCAGCCAAATACCTAAGATGCAAAGAACCATTTACACAAATCTACATGAGGACACAATGACCAAACCTGGGGACTCTGTGGATTAGGGCTATTAAACCAAAAAAATATTTCTTCATTTCTGAAAGGCTAGTTTCCATTAAAAAAAAAAGTCTGAGCATGGTAGCTCTCATGCCTGTAATCCCAGCACTTTGGGAGGCTCCAGTGGGTAAATTGCTTGAGTGTAGAAGTTCAAGAGTAGCCTGGGCAACATGGCAAAACCTCGTCTTTACAAAAGATACAAAAAAAAGAAAAAAAGAAAAGAAAAAAAGAGTCAGGCATGGTGTCTGTTGTCCCAGCTACCTGGGAAGCTGAGGTGGGACTGCTTGAGCCTGGCAGGTTGAGGCTGCAGTGAGCAGTGATTGCACCATTGCACTCCAGCCTGGGCCACAGAGCAAGGCTCTGTCTCAGCAAACAAAGAAACAAACAAAAACAACCACCAAATCCTTACTTAGTTTATTAAAAAGAAAGAAAAGTTGTTCTTTTGTGAGTGTGAGTACATCTGGGACAGGGTTTCTCATTCTCTGCACACTAGATATTTGGGGCTGGATAATTCTGTTTGTAGGATGGGCTGTCCTATGCAGTGTGGGGTGTTTAGTGGCTTTGCTGGACTGTGATAGCCAATATTTACCTCCCAGCTGTGACAGCCAAAAATGACTACAGACATTGTCCAACATTCCCTGGAATGCAAAATCACACCTGGTTGAGAACCACTGGTCTAGAAAAAGCATTTTAAAAGGAGTAATGGGCTGGCCATGGTGGCTCACA